CATCCCACTGCTGCTGCTGCTGAATTATAGATGGGCTCTGGCTCCCGGCTGGGCCGTAAGGTGATCGCCGGGCCTGGGAACCTCATCCAGGGGTGCAGGTCACCCTCCTGGATCGAGTGAGCTCTGCCACGTAGGAACAGCCCCGGCCCAGCTGGAGGAGGTGGGAGAGCAGCCGGTACCGAGGGGGCTCCAGGTCTGAGCTCAGGGCTGTCACCCTTGTTCCACACCCCAAATCCCCCCAGATTTTAGGGCCCAGAGCAGCTTCAACACCACCTCTGAGCAAGAACACGCAGAGCCCAGGGTGGTTCTTTCTCCCGCATTTATTTGCTCCCACCTCCAACCCAAGTCAAGTGGGCACCAGGAGCTGGCGACCAGGAGCCTCGGCCAGAGCGCGGAAGGCGGGAGGAAGGTGGGTGGTCACACACCAGCCCCAGCATAAACCCAGGGTCAGAGTAACGTAGTGCTAGTAAGAAAATAAGACACTCTCTAATTACACAGTCTGAGATTAGTGACAGGCAGCCCTAGGGACAGCCAGCCCCAGCGCTCCTCAGCCAGGACAAGGCTGCTGTCACAGTGGTCCCACGGTGGTCCCACGATGCAGGACAGGCTTTGGCAGGGCAGCAGGAGCAAAAAACCTGCACCCCTTGCCCTGGGGAGGAGGGGGTCAGGCCAAATCCCCCCCAGCATGAAGATTTTTGCCTTCCCTGCTGCAAAGGGCAGGAGATGCCCTGCCTGGACCCAGGGGCATGGGGGAAGGAGAGGTGACAGGCAGGGTGACATGGGCAGAGGGCTGAAGGCACCCAAAGGGCAGGGGGGCGATTAAATAAAGCAAGAGGTGGAGGGAAGGAAGGAAGGTGTCCACCTCACCTGCTCGGGGACAGGCCCAAGGGGGTCCCTGGGCTGGTCTCTGGGCCCAGAGACAGCACTGAGCCCCAGCAGCACCTCCTCTCCACCCCCAGCCCCGGGGGAGATGCTGCTTTGGTGAGGGGGAGCGGCAGAAGCTGGGGAGGTTGCAGGAGACAGGAGGGATGAGCACACCCACTGCTGAGCACCTCACACAGCACCCCACTGTGTCCCTCAGCCCGGTCATCACTTGGTCCCCAGAAGCTCAAGGCCCTCAGAGAGGGACCCAGCTCATTTCTCCAGCGAGGTGTGTGGGGTGGATGGGGAAGCAGCCGGACCACCAGCAGAGACTGTTCCTTGCGTGGGCCCCAAGGGACAGGGCTGTGGTTCGGCCACCCCGGGGCTCCAGGAGGGACTGGTCCTCTTCACAAGTGCTCACTGAAGAGAGAGGAAAGCAAGGCTGAATTACAGGCTCCTCTCTCCTACAATTCCTGGAGCAGCTCTGAAGCCCCTCTCTGCCCCCATCCCCCCTGCCACGGGCTCACCCCGTGTCCCCAGTGCCCAGCAGGAGATGAGGCCCTGCCCAGCCCACCTGGCAATCCGGGACAGGATCTCCTTGATCCGCACCACCAGCTTCTCGTGCTGCAGCGGGTTGCTCTCGATGGCACTGTGCAGTTTGGCCATGTAGAAGTCCAGGGTGCTCAGTGTGGGGGTTTCCCCAGTGCCTGCGAGGTGGAAACCCAGTAAGCAGGGCCAGCAAGATCCCACTCAGCCCTGCCCATCATACTGGGGACCAGGGAAGAGACCCTGAACAGCAGATGTCATCTCCTGCAGCAGGAGAGAGCGGGCACTGGCACAAGCCCTGGAACAGAGTTGTGGTGAATGGAAGTCAATCCAGCTGCGGACTGGTCACCAGTGGGCCCCAGGGCTCAGTACTGGTGTCAGTTTTCTTTAATATCTTCATCCATGATCTGGATGAGGTGATCAAGGGCACCCTCAGTCAGTTTGCAGGTGACACCAAGTTGGGTGCCTGAAGGTAGGAAGGCTCTGCAGAGGGACCTGGACAGGTTGGATGGGTCCAGGGCAACTGTATGAGGTTCAACAAGGCCAAGTGCCAGGTCCTGCCCTTGGGTCACACCAACCCCAGGAACCACTCCAGGTTTGGGGAAGAGGGGCTGGAAAGTGCCTGTGGAAAAGGACCTGAGGGTGTTGGTCACAGCAGCTGAGTATGAACCAGAGTGTGCCCAGGTGGCCAAGAAGGCCACCAGCATCCTGGCTTGTACCAGCACTGGTGTGGCCAGCAGGACCAGGGTAGGGATTGTCCCCTTGTGCTGGCACTGGTGAGGCCACACCTTGAATCCTGGGGTCAGTTCTGGGCCCCTCAGCACAAGAAGGACATGGAGGGGCTGGAGACTGTCCAGGGAAGGGCAGTGGGGCTGGGGAAGGGGCTGGAGCACAAGTGTGAGCAGGAGCAGCTGAGGGAGCTGGGGGTTCAGCCTGGAGACAAGGAGCTGAGGGGAGACCTGCTGGCTCTGCAGCTGCCTGAGAGGAGGTTGGAGCCAGGGGGGTCGGGCTCTGCTCCCCAGGAACAAGGGATGGGACCAGAGGAAACGGCCTCAAGTTGTGCCAGGGGAGGTTGAGGTTGGATCTTGGGAACAGTTCCCTCCTGGAAAGAGTTGTCAGGCCCTGGCTCAGGCTGCCCAGGGCAGGGGGGGGAGTCCCCATCCCTCGAGGGATTTCAAAGCCCTGTAGATGTGGTGCTAAGGACATGGGTTAGTGGTGGCCTTGGCAGGGCTGAGTTAGTGGTTGGACTTGTTGAAAGGTCTTTTCCAACTGAAACGGTCCCATGATTTGGGATAATCTGCCTTGTGGGCTCAGAGGTGACTCATGGCTCACGAGCAGGACAGTCCCAGCCTGGCCTGCCCTGCTAGAGTGGAACCAAGTGTCTGTCACATCCCTGGGCTCCCCAGAGAGCCTCTGAACACTCCAGGATCCCACCCCATCAGCAGAGGAGCATCTATCACCACTCCATTGTCACCACCTGTACTCTCTGCAGAGGCCCAGTGGTGCCCAACTCACCAGGGATGGGGAGGGAGGCAAAGCTGGCGGTGAGGGCCTGACGCACGGACTGGAGCTGCTGCTGCAAGGCCAGGGTCTGCCTCTCCTCCTGGGCCAGCTCCTGCTCCAGCTTCTCCTTGGCACAGTTCATGCTCTCCGTGTGCTTCTGCAGGATGGCGTTCTGCTCCTCAAACTCCGTGTTCATCTTCCGCAGGCGCCGCAGCTCGGCCTCCCGGGCTGCCGGGACCACACGGGGCTCATCCCCTCATCCCAAACCTCACCCAACGCCTTCCCCAGCCACAACAGTCCCCCAGGCTCTGATCCCTCTACCCAACCTCACTGGGGACCTTCCCCAGCTTGGATCTCTGACCCAGCACCAGCTGTCACCCTGCACAGCGGGATGCAGGCTGCTCCAGACACATCCATGTCCCCCCTCCCCAAGCAAGATGCTGCAGCCCCAGGAGCCCCCAACCCCACAGCTCGGGCCCCACCTTTGTTTTGGTCCAAGAACTCCTCTGTGAAGATGGGCACGTCGAAGGTGGAGAAAGCGTCACTGCACTCACCAGCCTGAGGGACAGGAGGGGATGGATCAGGCAAGGCTGAGCCCACCAGAGGGGACCCATGTCCTTGGGGCTGGGAGACAAGTGGGGAAAGGGGCAACTGGCTGCTGCCAACAGCCCACTGGACACATCTACACCACACCCCCCCCAATAGGGACAACTCCACATGAATCAGCAGCTGGTGCTCACTCAGCACCAGGAGCAGACCCATGAGGAGCAGCAGCTCAGAATCAGATTTCTACATGGGAAGTGTGAGCTGGGAGTGTGAGTCACACCACTTGGAACACCAAAAATTAACAAGGAGATAACGGCAACACAACCAGACACAAGAAACAAAATATGAATGATGAGAGAAAAGCAGCTCAATCAAATGTATTCCAGCTTGTTTCAGGTTGCAGTCCTGAGCACCAAAGAACCGTGTTTTGATGTTTTTCAATGGCATTTGTGTAACATTGGTTTTAGAAAATCTCTCACGTTTGACTGAGTTGCCTTTTCTTATCATCAGTTCTTCGTGTTCCGACTGGTGTGACTCACACTCCAGCTCCTGTGTCCACCCTTTCCTTGCAGAAATCTGAGCCCATGAGCAAGAGCTGCTGCTCCCCACAGGTCTGCTCAGAGTGCTGAGTGATCAACACTTGTCCTGTTGCAGAGTCAGCAGTGCAGGTGTGGTGGCCAGTTGTCCTAGACTCGACAGGAGGCACAGGCAAGGAGGATCTCCATGCTTTGCCTCCTGCCACTCCAGGCCCTGCTCCAAGAGGAAGCTGCTGCCTTCAAGCCCAACCACGAGTCTCCCTCTACCCAAACCTGCACTTAGCCTCATTCCCACGGGCTGAATCCAGTGGTGCCACATGCCTCAGTTTCCCCACGTGCCTCAGGCAGACCTGCCAGGACCCTACCTTGTGCGGGTGCCCTTTTTTGGTGTTTGCTCCTGCAGAGCCCACGTCCTCTGGAAAGGAGGAAGGAGGTTACCCCTGGCATCAGCCCAGTAGCCCCCGAGGCTCTGGCAGCACTTGGCCAGATCCTGGTGGTGACACCAGCAGCTTCTGCTCCTCCAACCAACCTTTTTTGATCTTTTTCTCTTGGATCTTCTCCGTACACATCTTGTAGGCCTCTGACTGCTGGTATTCCCGCAGCTCCTTCATGTACTGCTGCTTCTCCCGCTCCGCTTCATCCAGGTACCGCTATAGCCACAGAGGGTCCTCAGCCTGGCCCAGCCCCTGGCTCCCTTGGGAGCTGCTGATCCCTCCCCAGCTCCTGTTCCCCAACCCACCAGCACTGGGACAAGCTCCTTTGCGGAGATGCAGCCAGGAAGCAGACAAAGGGCTTTGGGGTGCAGGCTCTAGGGTGTGCTGCCCAGCCCTGGGGGTCACTTCTGGGGGATGGTACCTGCTTCTCTGAGAGCTGCAGTTTGCTCCACTCAGCCCCCAGCATCTTGGTGATCTCTGGGAAGGGCAGGTCAGGATGCTGCGTGCGGATCTGCTCGCGCCGCTCGTTCAGGAAACGCACGTAGCCCGTCACGGGGGCTTTGGGGCCATTGGGAAGGATCTTCTTCCTCTTCTTGCCCTTGGGCCAGCCCCTCTTCTTCACCGGCTGGCAGCCAGCAAAGGGAAAGGGACAACCCATCACAGATCAGAGAACACGACGCCCTGGCACCAGCAGGACACAGGAGCATCCTGCAGACCTGCCTGGGCCTCCCAGCCCTGGAGGGGGGGTCTAGAGGCTCAGACCTGAGCACACAGCTGCAACCACAGACTCTCCTGTCTGGGCCTGGATGGCTGAAGCATGAGCACAGGGGCAGCCCCGAGCTGGGCAACACAGGCCCCACCCCTAGGAACCATGCGGGGAGGGATGTGGGCACCAGAGCTCACCTCCTCCTCGCCATGTGGCTTCTCACCACTCGCCCGTGCCGAGTCTCCCTTCTCCTGCTTGACGGCCACCAGGAAGTTTCCATGCTGAGCTTTGCCCACGGCATGTCTGCAGGCAGAGAGTACCCATCAAAAAGAGCTAGGAAACCACCAGGACTGATGGCCACACAGCCCCTGGCAGCGTGGCCTCGTGCTCACTAGATCCCCCAGCTCTTGCCCACCCAAACAGCCCCCAGACTTGCTGCCAGCCCTGGAGCCCCTGTTCCCCTGGAAGAAGAGGCTACAGTTCAGTGATGGGGTTTGAGCAGAGCCCAGCACCGGGAGAGCGGGGAAGCCCTGGGCCTCCAGGGCTGCCTCCAGAACCAGTGATGACTCTGGGACTTTTCAGTGACATTTGAGAGGAGGGTGGGAGCTGCCTGTGCTGCTCTTGGGGACAGATAACAGACGGTTACATCCCCGACTGCCAGCAGGGCTGAGGCACACCCTGCCCCAGCAAGGAGTCTCAAGCAGCATGAACCAGTTGATCCTCCTCTGCAGGGGAGGACTGTGGGGGACCGGATCACCCACACCCAGCACAAAGGCTGCCAGGGATAAGGAGAACCCTGGAGGCAGAGGATGAAGGGAGGGCACTGGCGCCGCCGTTCCAGCCACAACCGCCCCATCAGGTTCCTGCCACCACCGAGAGGCTTCAACCACAGC